TCTCAATCTCCTGACCCTGTGATCTGCCTGCCTCAGCCTCCCAAAGTGCTGGGATTACAGGTGAGTCACTGTGCCTGGCCATGCCCAGCTAATTTTTAAATTTTTTATACAATGAAGGTTTCACTATATTGCCTGACTGGTGTCTAACTCCTGAACTCAAATGATCTACCTGCTTTGGCCTCCCCAAATGCTGAGATTACAGGCTTGAGCCACCAAGCCCGGCCTATCCCGTCTGTAACAAAAAAGATGCCTAGTGCGGTGGCTCACGCCTGCAATCCCAGCACTTTGGGAGGCAGCGGTGAGCAGATCTCTTGAACCCAGGAGCTTGAGACCAGTCTGCCTGCGCAACACAGTGAAATCTAGTTCCTACAAAAAAATTTAAAAATTAGCCAGGTGTGCTGGCATGCCTGTGGTTCCACTACTTGGGAGACTGAGGTGGGAGAATTGCTTGAGCCCTGGAAGTTGAGGCTGCAGTGAGCCATGATTGTGCCACTGCACTGCCATCTGGGCAACAGAGTGAGTCTTGTCTCTAAATAAATAAATGAAGAGAGAGAGTCATGCTCTGTTGCCCAGGCCTGACCTGAATTCCTGGGCTCAAGTGATCCTCCCACCTCAGCTTCCTCAGTAGCTGGGGCAACAGGCATATGCCACCACACTCAGCTTTGTTGGTTTCATTTCTTGTCCCCAAGGGTCTCTTCTGCATTCCCCTGCCCTTTGTATGGTCCAAGTCCTCCCCTGTGTGGTGGGTGCCATTCCAGGTTTAGGGTGTAAGACTGCGCTACAGCCATGGTGAAGATGGTCATGTGAACTTCTTTTCCCTCGCAGTGGTGATGCTGAAAGACCTCAACCCCAAAATGCTATTTTCCTCATTTCTTTGGGCCCCATTTCCATACCCGGAGTGAGGCAACTTCAGTAATAAACAGTCCTCCTTCCCAGCCCCGCAGGCTGAACTCCCCAGCTTGCAGTTACTCTAATAGAGACTGGCCTGCTACTTCAGCTGCTGTAGGCAGTGAGCCTCCTAAGGCTTGGCCTCAGCCTGTCTCCCCGCAGAAATGGGAGACAGGAATCCTTGGAATCCTTACCCACTGGCCAGTGTGCTGGCCCTCGAGGTGACACCTCTACCTGCCAGCTGCTTAGGCTAGACCCTGGGAATCTGCCTGACTCCTGTCCTGGTCTCACATGCTACATCTAATTTGTCAGCAAATCATACTGTCTCTACCTTAGAAATGATAGCAGGATCTGTGTCTCCCACCTTTACTGCTGCTCCATCCTGGTGGGAGCCACCACTGACTTTTACCTAGACAACCGCAGCCGTC